TGTCCCAAAACCATAATTGGATTTGTTATATGGTAACTTCTATACTTTATATTTGTATAAAACCTTGTGCGTATTTCAAAGCCCTTTCACATCCATTATTTCACTGAAGTCTCATAAAAATCCTGTGATGTCAGTAAAAAATGAAATAACTTCTCAATGGACATTTTTTGAGATTGAAATATCATTTATATTAGGTTTTAGCTGCAAGCAACATAATCTAAAAGAAGATAGTAGTCAGGAATTAGACAGTTATAGAAAATGTCTCTATCTTGTTTCTCCACCTTTTATAGTTTCTATTCTCAGGTTTACTTCATGGCCCAAGATGGCTTCTAGGGTTCCAGTAATAATGACAGAATTCCTGCAATTAGGGAAGAGCAAGATACAAAATAAGTACATGTCAAGGGAGGCTGGGTAATGCAATTTTTATTCCGGGTGGGTAGGTGTCCAGATAAAAATTCAGAGGTCCCAATACCATAGGAGAAAGAAAAGGAAAATGAGTTTTGGGGGAAAACCAGCAATCTCTGCACAGGAATATATCAAGCACAAAGCCTGGGCACAAATTCAGGTATTCTGACTCCTAGACCAGATGTGTCCTCCGTTGTGGTCTCCCATTGAAGCTAGGTTTTATTTTTTAATTGAGGTAAAATTTATATTCAGTGAAATGCACAGACTTGAAGTGTACAATCCAATGAGCTTTGATAAATTTATATATCTGTGTAACCAACATGCAACCAAGATATAGAATATTTTTATCATCCCAGTAGCTTCTCTCTTGACCCCTTGCAGACAATCCCCACTCCACAAGGCAACCACTATCATATTTTCTATCATCACAGATTAGTTTAGCCTATTATTAAGCTCATATGGATGGAATCATAAAGCATGTACTCTTGTGTTTGGCGTCTTTCACCTTACATACTGATTTTGAGATTCATCACGTTGTGGGTTACAATAGTTTGTTCTTTTATTTTGTGAATAGTATTCCATTCCATAAGTATATCACAACTGAAAAAATCTAATCTCCTGTTGAGAGACATTTGGATTGATTTCAGTTTTCAGGTGTTATGAATAAAATCTGCTATAAACATTTTTGACATTCCCGTTTTGTTTTTTTTTTTGAGGAAGATTAGCCCTGAGCTAACACCCACTGCCAATACTCCTCTTTTTGATGAGGAAGACTGGCCCTGAGCTAACATCTGTGCCATCTTCCTTTATTTTATGTGGGATGCCTGCCACAGCATGGCTTGACAAGTGGTGCGTAGGTGTATACCTGGGATCCGAACCAGCAAACCCTGGGCTGCCAAAGCAGAACGTGTGAACTTAATTGCTGCACCACTGGGCTGAACCCCATTCCTGTTTGTTTGTTTTTTTAAAGCATAAACTGACAGAGTCATTTGATAATTTTGTGTGAATAATAACTTTTTACTATGTACAGCTATATTCCTAATTCTGCAAGAGTCTGTACTGGTGTTCAATTAGAACTGGAGAATTGAGACCATAGTCAATGGGCTAATCTTTAATAGGTTAGGAAATAAAATCAAACTACATTTAACAGATGTAGTTTCCAAAAATGAATATTCATAGATTCACATTTAAAAATGTATCTTCCTTAGATTTATCACACCAAATCTTTCAATATAGAAAAGACTTTGACTGAAAGATTTTCACAGAAACTTAACTTCATGATAAGTTACAGAATAAGTATAGGTTTTAGTAAAATATTTGGAGCTTTTAAGTAATTATTTGCTAATTTTACTTTCCTTGTGTTTCTTTCTGTATAGGTAATGCTTAATTAGGAGCATTTGTATTCTCAAAAACAATTAACCTTTTAAAAAAATCTTAACGTCTCTCTTCATAATTTTATTCTTAATCATTAGTTGAAACTTGGCATCTTGTTTCAACTCTAATTTTAATCAAGACTGAATTAGTGAAATTTTTGAGTAGCACTGGTGTAGAGTACAAAGCACTATTACGGCATTTGTAAAATCCTTTATTAAAGAAAATTTAATATATACACTGATGGGGTCAAGGCAGGTTAGTGAACTCATATACCCATCACCCAGTTTCATAATTATCAATTCACAGCAAACTTAGCTTTATCTTGCTAAGGATCTCAACAACAGCACTATTGACATTTTGGGTTAGATGATTCTTTGATGTAGGGGGACCATCCTGTGCATCGTAGGATGTGTCATAGCATCCTTGGCCTCTCCCCACTAGATGCCAGTAGCACCTCTTCTCCATCCAGGTTGTGACAATGAAAAATGTCTCCAGATATTGCCAAATGTCCTTTGGGGGACAAAATGGCCCCTTGTCGAGAACCACTGATCTATAGCCTCATCCATAGCAAGGCAAGAAGCGCTGTTTGAGTTTCTGACACTTGTGTCCCATATTCCTTAGAGCCATCCTTTGAAAGGTGTCAGTTCATGTAAAGCCACATGATTGAGTTCATGGTAAGCAGGAGCTATATCTAATTGACCCCTGAACAGCACAGAGCCTCATACAGAGTAAGTACACTGTGAACATTGGGTGAATTTAAGTTTTTCATATCTCCTATTGATTTCTCAAGTTATGTTACTGATAAGGAAGTTTGAGATTTTAGTGTCCAGGTCCTGCATCTCATGAGGTAGTCAGCCTGATTGGGAAGGGAAACGTATGGCTGTCTGGGGACCAATCTTCTCTCATTTGATGATCACACCTTCCCCCCGGGTATGTCTCATGTAGAGTGAACTCAAGGCTAAGCTGCCAGAATTCTTATTTCTCCGTGGAATACATGGGAGGCAAATCTGCTTTGCTCTTTTTAAAAATCAGGTGGAATAGATCCAGTGGCTTAGTCTCAGCACTCTTAAGCCTGAGGCTGCAGAGGGAGCAGGTCCTCCACTTGGCAACTCCTTAGAAGTAAGGGCTCTGGTGGTAGCTGGGCCTTAATGCTTTCCAATTGGCTAACTGGGAAACCTGCATGAGCTGAGGGCTGTTCTCAGGGCGCTATTTACCTCTCTGTGGTCAGAATAGAAGAAGGAATCGTGGTGAGACCAGCAAAGCCACAGAAACTTTGGGGTGAGTTTTGTTTTGTGAGCATGTGCTTCTTTTGCATGATGACTATAATTCCATTTTGAAAGCAAAGAGAATGTTGCCATCAAGCACAAGGCATTTCACAAACTGCTCTCACATTAGTCTGGTCTTTGCCTGAGACAAGCACAGCGCTACCTATGGCATTCGGGAATAGAGAAGGTGTGGTGTTGATCCTTAGGGAACTTTGTCCTTTCAATATTTGTTGAACACCTACAATGTGCTAAATACTGTGCTAAGAAGGCTAGGGCAGATCTACATTCACTCTTCTTTCTATTTACAATCATTGAGTCATTTCAGTAAGCATTGGTTGGAGATGGAGTCGTAGTGAGACATAATCTGCGCCTCAGGAAGTTCACAGTGGGCAGATGGTCACATACAACAATCACAATTCAGTGTGGAAAGTGCTGTGAGTCCAAAATGTCCTGAGAGAAGGGGGGCCAACTAACCATAAGGACCTGTGGGTTGTGGAGATGGATTTCCTATCTCTGAGAAGACTCCAAGTTTGCACAGAGGAGGGGAACTTAAGTTGTCCTGGGATGAGCTAGGAGTGGGAGGTATGGCATCTACCTATGGTATAGGTATTATCTCCATGCTACAATGTGGACCTTTAATCTATGAAAAGTTGAAGAACTTTGTAGATATCACATGGATACTGCCTGAAGAAACCTGGGTATAAACCCAGGGGTGGGAAAATTAGCAGTGTTTTCTTCCATGCACAGCTCCTTGGTAAAATTCCCCAGCTGATCTGAGAGTATAGGGCTCATCTCTGCCCTCCATTTGTCATTGTAATTGTAAATTTTATCAATGATTTCCTTCTGGCCCGTGGTGGTCCTTAATCACCTGAGCCTGTCCCCAATCCCTGAACAAAAGAAGCTTTGTGGCATGAGTGAATGTCATGTAACTCTCAGTCTCAGATGCCCTGGAGTCTCACTGTACAAGGGGCTGTGTTGATACACACAGACCTCAGTCACCTTGAACAAAGTCCACCATGGATGAGGGCAGTCTGCAAATCAGTCAGTGCACGTGACGGTTGATGTCTTGAAATGTTGGAAGGCTGGACTGCAGAGAATATGTGTCAAAGGACGAGTGGGCACTCTGAGTGGAGGGGTGGTTTGTATTTCAGTAGCTACTGGGGGCATGTGTTGGAGGAGATGAAAGTTTTGGTAAGGAGAAGAATTGTACATGAATTGAACTGGATCCTTGGAAAGGACAAGAACACCAAGAGACCAGTTGTAGAAACAGACAATTAGGAGGAGAAAGTAGAAATGAGAGAGGGTGCTGAATGTCAAGGGACATCTCTTCTGAAGACTCCGAAGGGAAGCAGAGTTGTGAGAATGCTATTCAGTAAACCAGGGATGGAAAGCAAGTGAAAGGAAGTGGGACAAAAGAAAGCAGCAGGCAAAAGGCAATCAAAAGCATTCAAAGGCAATAGAGAGTCATTTAACATGGAGACAGCCACACTCTCCTTGCTGCCCCATATCGTCCAATGAGGCTTTCATCTCCTGAGAGATATCCCCTCCTCTGATCTGTTTCCACTAGTCCAACCTGTATGTACAAAGTGATGTTACTTTCCAGTTGAGTAATATTCCTGATGATTCCTCATTGTCTGTAGGATGAACCTCAAAGTCCCTATCAGTGCTTCATGGATTGGTACTAGATTCTATCTCCAGCTTTATCTTTGCCGTTCTCCCCTTTACTCCAGCCACACATGCATGAAATTTTATAGCTTTATATGCTCTTCTGCCTTTTTGGAATGCTCTTCCCTTCTTGTATGCACAACTAGCTCCTACTTATCTTTCAATATCCAGCTAATAAGCTTCTCAGATATGTAAGGGATTATTGTAATTCACCTACTTAATGAAAGAGTCTTTTATTTTGTATCATTTCAGATCACGTCACCCAAATTACTGCCTCCTGGTAGCAATTTCATGGCTAATACACATAATGTGACTGAATTCATTTTTCTGGGACTTTCTCCTAATCAGGAGGTGCAGACTGTTTGCTTTGTGCTATTTCTGCTCTTGTACACAGCAATTGTGCTGGGGAATCTCCTCATTGTGCTCACTGTCATGACCAGCAGAAGTCTTGGTTCCCCCTTGTACTTCTTCCTCAGCTGCCTGTCCTTCGTGGAGATCTGCTACTCCTCTACTTCAGCCCCCAAACTCATCTCAGATTTGCTGGCTGAAAGGAAAGCCATATCTCTGTGGGGCTGCATGACACAGCTTTTCTTCATCCACTTCTTTGGTGGCACTGAGGTGTTCCTGCTCACTGTGATGACGTATGACCGCTATGTGGCCATCTGCAGACCTCCCAACTACACCACCATCATGAACGGACAGGTTTGTGCTATGTTGGTGGGAGCAGCATGGGTGGGGGGCTTTGTGCATTCCTTTGCCCAAGTCCTTCTCATCTTCCGCCTGCCCTTCTGTGGCCCCAATGTGATCAACCACTATTTCTGCGATCTGCTTCCTCTGCTCGAACTTGCCTGCTCTGACACCTTCCTCATTAGTCTGCTGATTGTTGCCAATGGGGGGACCATGGCTGTGATCAGCTTTGTGGTCCTTTCAGTCTCCTATGTGGTCATATTGCTCCATCTGAGGACTCGAAGCTCTGAGGGGCGGCGCAAGGCCCTCTCCACCTGTGGGTCCCATATCACTGTGGTTATGTTGTTCTTTGGGCCCTGCATCTTTATCTATCTGAGGCCTTCTACCACTCTGTCTGTGGACAAGATGGTGGCCGTGTTCTACACAGTTATCACTCCACTCCTCAACCCTGTCATCTACTCCTTGAGAAATGCAGAAATGAAGAAGGCCATGAAGAGGCTGTGGATCAGGACAATGAAACTGGATGAGAAATAGGGCTGTCTTTGTGTTTGTCCTTGCATTTAGAATGATGCTTAGTCCCAGTGGAAGGGTAGAGTGAGATAAAGGACAGGCCGGAGGACTTGTTACATCTAGAGTCATTCTAACTAGTTCCCTCCTTTAACAACTTCATTGTAATCACTTGTAAAATATTTTCTCTTATGGATGTACTAGTACTTAACTAGCCACTTTTCTGTTAGACCATTTCTAATTTTTTACTACTTTAAATAACACTGTGGTATTTGTGAATAGAAATCTTTAACTATACTTCTGATTTTTAGAAAGACCTCACTTGCGAGCCAGCCCTGATGGCCTAGAGGTTAAAGTTCATCAAACTCTGCTTTGGCAGCCCGGGTTCAGTTCCCAGGCACTGAATCACATCACTTGTCTGTCGGTAGCCATGCTGTGGCAGCCTCACATGGAAGAACCAGAAGAACTTACAACTGTACGCAACTATGTACTGGGGCTTTGGTGGGGTGGGCGAAGGGAAGAAAAAATGAGGACGATTGGCAACAGATGTTAGCTTAGAGCAAGTCTCCCCCATCCTGCCAAAAGAAAAAAAAACTCACTTGCTATAATAAATTTACTGCATTAAAAAGTACAATAACTTTTGATGCAATTGCTAAGTTGGTTCTCAGAACAGTTGTTAACAATTCACCTTCCTAGTGAAAGTGCTCTTGACGGAATGAACATTGTCATTAAGAATTTTCTTGGCTGGAATAAGAATTCTCATAGTCTCAAAGTATCTCCCTATAGGATACTTATTCATTGCAAGAGGAAAAGTGTAACTTTATAATGGAGAAATCTGAAAGACAGTCCATTAAACAATTACTCAAATTCAACATTACCAGTGTTGAGACTGGAGAGGCACACAATATCACTACTGTGGGATTCCTACGCCAAATACATAACCTGTGTCTAATCATGAAAAAACATCAGGCAACCCCAATTAAAGAAATTCTGCAAAATTACTAGCTTGCATCTTTGAAAGGACCAAGACAAAGAATGAATGAAGAATTGTTCCAGATTAAAGGTAGATGATAACTAAATGCAACCTGTGATCCCTGGTTGGATCCTGTACTTGATAAAGGTTATTAGCGGGCAAAAGCTCTGTAGATGAGACAATTGAATTGTATCAAAGTTAATTTCCTCTGTTCGATAATTGTGCTGTGTGTGTCAGAGAATGTCCTTGAATTTAGGAACAAAGCACTAAAGTATCTAGAGTTAAAAGAGCATTATGTAGGCAACTTTCAGATGTTTCAGAAACAATCCTATCTATTGAGAGAATAAATGATAAAGAAATATAAAAAAATAAAATGATGAAATATGCCAAAATATTAATATTAGGGGGATTTGGATTAAGGGTATACAGGAATTCTTAGTATTATGATTGCAACTTTTTTGTGAGTCAGAAATTATTTAAAAATATAATTAAAACATTTTGAAAATTTGATAGACATCTTGTTATGTTTTAACCTGCAATTTTTGGTTGTGAGGAAGGATGTTTTAATATTTAATTCACTTTTAGTTTTATATACAGTGTTTTCAATGTTTAAAAGCTTTACATTTTTTCTCCAGTTTTATTGAGATATAATTGACATATATCACTGTATAAGTTTCTGTGCAGCATAACGATTTGACCTACACATATTGTGAATTGATTACCAACAATAAATTTAGTTAGCATCCATAATCTCATATAGATACAAAAAGAAAGAATAGAGAAAAATAGCTTTTTAAAATTTGTTATGAGAACACTTAGGATCTATTCTCTTAACAACTTTCAAATATATCATACAGCAATGTTAACTATAGTCATCATGTTGTACATTACATCCCTAGTACTAATTGGTCTTGTAATTGGAAGTTTGTGCCTTTTGACCAGCTTCATCCAATTACATCGCCTGCCTCCCGTCTCCCTACCTTCGGTAACCACAAATCTGATCTCTTTTTCTATGTTTTTTTTCTTTAGATCACATGTATAAGTGAGATTATACACGCAATATTTGTCTTTCTCTGTCTGACTCATTTCAGTTAGTATAACGTCCTCAGGTTCTATTCATGTTGCTACGAATGGCAAGATTTCCTTATTTATGGCTGAATAATATTCCTGTGTGTGTGTGTGTGTGTGTGTGTGTGTGTGTGTGTGTACATATACATATATCACAACTTCTTTACCCATTCATTTGTTGATGGACACTTAGATTGTTTCCAAGTCTTGGCTATTGTGAATAATGCTGCTATGAACATGGGGGTGAAGCTATCTCTTTAACATAGTGTTTTCATTTTCTTCAGATATGTTCCCAGAAGTGGAATTGCTGGATCAAATAGTAGTTCTATTTTTAATTTTTGAGGTGCCTCCATATTGTTTCCCATAGTGGCTGTATCAGTTTATAATCCCACCAACAGGGCACAAGGGTTCCATTTTCTCCACGTCCTCACCAGCATTTGGTATCTCTTGTTTTTTTGATGATAGCTGTTCTAACAGGGGTGAGGTGCTAACTCATTGTGGTGTGGATTTGCATTTCCTTATGATTAGTGATGTTGAGCACCTTTTCATGTACCTGTTGTCCAGCTGTATGTATTCTTTGGAAAAATTTTTATTCAAGTCCTTTGTCCATTTTTAAATTGGATTGTTTGTTTCTTTGCTACTGAGTTATATGAGTTCTTTATATATTTTGGATACTAAGCCCTTATCAGGTATATGGTTTGCAAATATTTTTTTCTCCATGCTGTATGTTGTCTTTTTATTTTGTTGATCTTTTGCTATGCAGAAGGTTTTTAGTTTGATGTAGTCCCACTTGTTTATTTTTGATTTTGTTTATGCTTTAGGTTTTAGATCCAAACAATCATTGCCAAGATCCATATCAAAGATATTTTTTCTATGCATTTTTTTCTGAGTTTTATTGTTCCCAGTCCTACATTTAAGCCTTTAATCCATTTTGAATTAATTTTTGTAAATGGTGTAAGATAGGGTTCTGGTTTCATTGTTTTACTCTTTTTTTGACATACAGAAATCTTTGCTTTTTATGTAGTTAATTATCATTATTTTTTATGACCTAGAATAGCCAGGTCCACGCTATTTCTTGTTATGGAAGCTTTATGGAATGTTTTAATATCTGGAAGGTTAGTCCCTTTTTGTTTCTCTTCTTTTTCGAAGTTCTCTTGGGTATTGTTTCTCCATATGAACTTGAGAATTAGTTTTACTTCTCTTCCAGCTGCACATCCCCCCAAAATAAAATGTTATTATTTGATAGATATCATATTGCATTTAAAAATGTATATAGAAAGAATCAATATCTTATTGATGTGAATCTTCCCATCCGAAATCATGCTTTATCTTTCCATTTGCTGACATCTTTTGTGTTTTCAGTAGAGTTTTAAAGTTTCAAACTGTATTTTAAAAATATGTTCTTTTATTTTCCAGCTTTATTGAGGTATATTTGACAGATAACATTGTGTAAGTCTAACTTGTACAACATGATGATATTATACAAGAAAATATTGCAAAATGATTACCACAATAGGGTTAGTTAACACCTCCATCTTTTCACATAATTATCTTTTTTTGTGAGAACATTTGAGATCTCCTCTATTAGCAAGTTTCAAGTATATAATACAATGTTGTTAACTATGTCACCATGCTCTACATTAGACCCACAGAGCTTATTCATCTTATAACTGAAAGTTTCTACCCTTTGACTAACATCTCCCCATTTCTCTCTTTCCCAGGCACCTAGCAATCACCAATTTACTCTCTATTTCCATGAGTTCCAATAATGCACAGATTGTTCTCTTGATAGTGTCCACTAGTTCACATAGGCTTTCTTCACTCTTTTTTCATTCTTTTTTCTTTGTTTTCCTCTGACTGGATAATTTCAAACATCCTGTCTTTTACTTCATGGATTCAGTGTTCTGTTTGATCCATGCTGTTGTTGATGATCTCTATTGAATTTTTCATTTCATTTATTGTATTCTTCAGTTCCAGAATTTCTTTGGTTCTTTTCCATAACTTTTATCTTTGTTAAACCACTTATTTTGTTTGTGTATTGTCTTCCTGATTTTGTTTGTCTTTCTGTGTTTTTTTTTTTTGCAACTTACTGAGATTCCTTAAAACAGCTATTTTGGACTCTTGATTGGGTAAATAACAGATGTCCATGTCTCTGGGGTTTGTTTTTGGAAAATTACTGTGCTCTTTTGGTGTGGTCATGTTTTCTTGACGTTTCATGTTTCTTGAAGTCTTGTGTTGTCGTCTTCACATTTGACGTTACAGTCATTTCCTCTAGGTTTTACTGACTGAATTTGGTCAGTATATAACTTCCGTCAGCTCTGCTGCTAATTCTGAGGCTTTCTCACACCTTTTCTTTGGGTACACCTGCCCCACACTTCTTGTTCCACTTTTTTTTCACTAGAATATTTTTTAATCCTTATCCCCAGAGGTAGACCCATTTTATCAAATATTTGAAAGAGAAGCTTCCAGTTCTTATTGTCACAGTGACTCCTGATAGCAGATCTTGTCCTCTCCCGCCTTCGTTACCCTCTAGTCCTTTCAAAAGGCCCACAAAGTGCATGGACAGTTAATTGTGCAGATGTTGCCCACAGCCATCACACCATGCTTACTTCTTGTTGTGTGCATGGCCTCCCCGCTTACACACCAGTACGTGTTACATGGTGGCCAGAGATACATTTACAGTGTGCATGTGAGGCCCAGCCTGGGCTGCATCTTTGGACAAGGTCTGCTGCTTGGTCCCGAGGTCCCAGGGTCTGGGGATCCCAAGGCTACTCTCAGCCAGCCCTCTTGTCTCAGTGTTCAATGTACAAGATAGGGATTTGTGGTCCAGGAGAGTGAACATAATCTTGTTCATGAACTGCCTCAGCCAGAAGTTGCTTACCTGATGTCCTTCAGGCCTCCCATGAGGTCTTCATGCAATGCCGTGTGTATTTCTGCAGGCAGAGAGTGGGCTTTGGTCTGGGTGGCTAAGAGATTCTTTGCTTTATAGAGGCTGAGGCTCAACATCTTCCCATTCAAGTTATCATTCTGATTCTGCAGCTTAAGCATTCTTGAGCTTGTATGCCTTCCCTCAATTCTGCAAAGCGAGTCTGTGTGCTGATAGCCTCCCTTTTGCGTTTTGTGGTTTCTTCCAGTCAGGCCTGCAGATTCAGAGCAACTTTCTGCTCATGGTCACTAGCCATCTGGAAAAGCTTGCTCTCGCCACCACCGGGAGCATGTAAGAGCTAGCCATGGGGAGTGGGGATGTGTGTCAGTGAGGCACTCAGAGCTCTGGGGGTGACTGT